AAAAAAATGTATATATATATATATAATTTTTAGACAGGTTCTCTCTATAGTCCCTGCTGGCCTGGAACTATGTGGACACCACACTGACTTCCATCGAGCAGAGATCTACTTCTGCCTCCTGAGTGTTGAGATTAAAAGCATGTACCAAGCCTTGCATTTTCTTTTTAAAAAACCAATCGATGGGGCTGGAGAGATGGCTCAGCGGTTAAGAGCACTGACTGCTCTTAGAGAGGACCCGGATTCGATTCCCAGCACCCACATGGCGGCTACGAACCATCCTTAACTCCACTTCCAGGGGAATCTGAAGCCCTCTTCTGACCTCCGCAGCACTGCACGACATGGGTGCACTCGCATACATGCAGGTAATACACTCATACACATAAAAATAATAAAAATTAAAAACAAAACCAACTGATTACTTTTTTAGTATTTACAAAACTTTAATCTGGGCTCTACTGACTCACAAGATCTGTCTGTCCCTAGTTCTCTAATTCTGGCTACGAATTCTATTTTCCTAACCATGCTAGTAGTAGCATCTCATTCCCTAAATCAACTGAACTCCTTAGATCCTTAACTACTTCATTTATATTTTTTATTATTTCAAAAGCATTTTTATTCAGGAAAATCTGTGAAACACAATGAAACTTAAATAACTTCAATAAAATAAGTAATTTATATATTTTTAAAAAAGAAATTCATTTCTAAATTGTGACAAATACTACATATAATCCAAGAACTTTAACTTAAAATGTTCTAAATGGAAAACATTTCCAAATTAGTATTTCAAGAAGGTAAAAGGCCCTTCTTTGCAACATGTTCTTTTCTATATATTCTTTTTTTAATGTTTTTTAATTTTAGACTATTTTTATTATTCCAAAGAGAGGCAATTTTTAACACATTTTTCCAGAAACAATGTGAAGCAGGTTACATAAAAATATTTATACAATGAAGTTTAAGGGGGGGAAAGTATTTTGAAAGAAAAAAAAGGGAAGAGTATATAGTGTGAATTTTAGAATAATTTAGAAACCTGAAGCATAGCACTTAAACTTAACCTTTAAAAAAAATCTCTTGGTACAGCTAGAAAGATGGCTGAGTGACTAAGAGTGGCTACTGATCTTGCAAAAGAGCGAAGTTTGGTTCCCAGCACCACACCAGGTGGCTCACAAGTGCCTCTAACTTCAGCTCCAGGGATCCAATGCTTCCGGCCCTTATGGGCACCTGCTAGACTAATGTGTACATGCCCTCACAAAGACATACACACATACATAATTTTTTTTTAAAAGTAAATCTTGACAAAAAAAAAAATCTTCAGATATTTGCATACTTACTCCATAATCATGAGTTAAAATATTGTAAGTAGTCAAAACAATATCCTGTTTTGAAAGCAAGGCTGGATCTCTAATACGATCAGGACCATAATAAACATAAAAATTCAAGTGCACCTCTGATTTTATATGCTGTCCAAATTGGTCCTAAAAAAGAAAGTTAGAAACCTTTTTAATAAGAAGCTGATGAATTTCATGCTTAACATGTTTATAAAAGTGCTGTGCTGAAGTATCACAAATCAAGCTTAGAAAACTTTAAAATCAGTTTTTCTATAACCTGAAGTAGAATAATGACAGCTATAGTAATTAATAGATTGTTAGCAAAATGATACAGTATGCAAATTTTGCCTACTAAATATTAGCAACTTCTTCATTTTTTTTCTATTAAGATAAATTATCATGGGAGTGGGCGTAATTTGACCAAAACACCTTATATGCATGTTTGAAATTCTCAATAAATTTTATTTGAAAAAAAAAGATAAATTATCACTACATAACCTAGCCTAGCCTCAATCTCATGACCTTCTTGCCTCTGCGACTGACATTACAGGAATGTCGAGCATGCCTTCATTTTTAGGCTAAAAAGTTCACCAAGTTTCTTTGTAAACAAGGACTTAAGACAAATTTGAGCTAGATAAAATTATTTGACTGGTGAGAGAAGATACCAGGGAGACAAAACTGGCAAACAATTAGGTGAGAAATGAAGCGCTATGCCCAGCATGGTAGAAGCTGACAGAATGAAAAGGACAGGTATGCGAGAAAGAGATTAAGAAGGGACTTGGAGATAGGACTTGGGGTCTTACATGTGGGACACGAGGAAAAGGGAGACAACAGTGGTGTCCTATTACTTCAAATGACTGCCTGGCAGTATCGAGAATGAAAGGTATACAAAAGTTCACATTAAAAAGAGGAAAACAAGAACAAAAGTGACAAAGAGCACATTTACACTACCAAGAACATAAACACTGGCCTATAGATACAAGTCAAGAGGTACATACATGCACTGTAAAGTTAACAGCAGACAATATATAACGTCTGAGATTTTTTTTTTCAGATTTCAACAAGTACCCTTTGTAAGTTTTTTTTAATCATTTAAAAAAATGTTTAATAACTACACGATTAGACGAAGCATTTCACTACAGCTTTAACATATCCAGTGACACGTGCAATGAGAAAAAAAGGGCTCAAGGATGCAGCCTACCAACATTACAAAAGCAATTCTATGCTCTTAGAGAGAGAAATGACATGTCTGAAACGGTTAGAGTTCACAGTAAAGGAAAAAGCAAAGACAGAAGCATTTTGGCACTTTTTGGGCCTTGGTGAGTAAATAAAATATTTCATTAAAATTCTTCAATTAAAAGTTTTTTTCTATTTATAATTTTTATTTCATGTGTAATGAGTGTACTGCCTGCATGTATGTAAGTGCACCTGTGTCGTGCAGTGCCCATGGAGATCAGAACACGGTGTCAGATCCCCTGGAATTGGAGTTACAGACAGTCGTTAACCGCCATGTGGGTACTCGGAATCGAACCCAGGTTCTCAGCAAGAGTAGCCAGTGTTCTTAACCGCTGAGTCATCTCCAGCCTCTAATTTTTGTTTTTTCTTTTAAGACAAGGTCTCACTATGTAGTCTAGGTTGGCCTTAAAACTCATACTTCCACCTCAAGTGTCCTAGAGTACATTTAATATGAACCAGAACAAAAACAAAGAAACAGTGGTAAGAAAGTTCAAAGAGCAAACACAAAATATATGACCTGGTAGCCAGACAGTATCAAAGTTTTAAGAAAGAAATAAGGTGGATTATTCATCTGTAATTTACATACACTTTCCATATAAAGAGGTTTAGAGATGACTTACAAAATATGCCATAACAGAAAGAGAAATAATAGCTCAGCAGGGACAGGAATCACTAGACATTTAAAGCAATGAAGTTGACAGGTGCCGCCTTAGCACAGTAGGCAGTGCTACTAAAACAAGGAGGTCAAAGTTCTCCTCAAAGGAAGCGTCTGTAGTGAATGACCATAAACACCAGGCTATTGTGGCTGAAGAAATACACAGAAAACAGCAAAGGCAAAAAAGCAAAGCGAGGGAAAAACACGAAATAGTAAAGATAAAGCATAGGGAACTTTTTTTTCAAGTAATCTGGTAGAGAGGAAATTTAGTATGAGAAGGAATTTCTAATGAAAAACATGAACCAAAATGGCAGGCAATGAAATAGAACATATATTTATAGAAGGATAAGGCTTGGAATAAAAGAATATCAACTTTTGGGCTAGAGAGATGGCTCAGCGATTAAGAGCACGGACTGCTCTTGCAGAGGACCCGAGTTCGATTGCCAGCACCCACATAGCAGCTACAAACCATCCTTAACTCCAGTTCCAGGGGAATCTGAAGCCCTCTTCTGACCTCTGCAGCACTGCAAGACACGGGGTGCACTCACATACATGCAAGCAATACACTCATACACTAAAATAAAAATAATAAAATAAAATATTTAAAAAAAAGAAAATCAACTTTTTGAAGAAAGAACTACATGTACTATGTTTCTAGACACTGTGTGAGGCTATATATGTGTGTGTATGTAGTCTGTAATAATAGATTTAATCTTAATAATAGAAAATAATCTTTGATAAGGTCAAATAACTTGTCTAATGCATGGTGACATCAGATCAGTATACAGGTCTTACTTTAATTGAAGTCTTCTCCTTAATATAAATAAAACAAAAAAGAGGAGTTGGAGAGATGGTTCAGCGGCTAAGAGCACTGCTGCTCTTGCAGAGGACTAGAATTTGGTTGCCAGCACACACATCAGAGAGATCATTACTCCCTGTAACTCCAGCTCCAGAAAATCTGATACCTTCTCCTGGCCTCCATGGACGGACGTACATGGACACATGGATTGGGACACACACACACACACACACACACACACACACACACACAAGACAATAGTTTTACTGGAACATTAATATATAGAGAAAAAAAACACTAAAACTCATCTCTCTCATGAGGCATGACAGAAGAATAGGAGAATGATTATTTATTTTAAAATAAACCAAAGCCATAGAATAAAAAGGTAAGTCGTGGCACAGAAGGGCAGGGCAACATAAAGAAGTGTATTAAGGCAATACCTAAGAAATACCTAAAGTCAAGAAGAAATACAATATCAAGACAAAAAGAGAAAAATAAAGTCAAGAGGCTACTAAATACGATAGAGAACACTAATCTTTGATATAATTTTGACAAGTGGTAGCAGAAGCTCAATTACAGTGCAGTGTGTAAAAATACAAAGAAGTTAGCCTCCAAGAGGTACATCAGAGAAGGAGTGCAGAAGAGCAACAACTTACAGGAGAGACATAACAAAAGGAAGTATTTAAAGTGAAGAAGACCCAAGTATATTTCATGAAAAACCCAGTGGAGGGAGACTGAATAGGCAAAGGAAGGGATGGGGGGAAGCAAATGGGGAACAATGGAATATGATGCATAGATTAAAAGCACAGGAGAGACCAGGAAGGGACAGGAAACCTTGACATAGCAAGAACGGAAGTCCATATCCAGTAGTCTTTACGTCCAAATGCTTCTAAAAGAATATTTCTTTATAAAATGAAGCTTGAGGTTCAAACTGAAAGGAAAATAAAATCAGGCGTCTCCTTACACACAATGTATGAAAGAGATTCCATTCCAAAGCAATGTTTGTAGAAGAAAAAAAAAAAATCAATCTGTGGGTGGGGGGGCACGGACTACACACACACTTTTCTGGCCTTAAAAAAATACACTCTGGAGTCAAACTGTTGGGGACCACATCTAAGCTCTATTATGATCTGGATGGATGCCCTTAGTCAAGTTATTTAACCTCTGTGTGTTTTGATTTGGTCACCTGGAAAATGAGAAAAATGGTGTGAAGATTAAATGAGAAAAATCTATGAAAAGAACTTAAGAACAAATCAAGCAAAGAGAAGCACATTTATTGTTATAGATTGCTATAAAAATTAAGTTATTTTTAGTAGAATTCACAGGAAGAGTTCAATTTCTAATATGGAAGTCTTAAGTTATAAATGTTTCCCAATTAGGGAGAACCAAAGACATGGACAGAAATTCAAATCAAATCCTAAATTAGTAATAAGCATTTCTTCATTATCATTCTTCAAGAAAAATTACTTCAATAATCTCCATTCACTCAACAGATACAAAATGATGGTCCTATGTATTTCTAACAAAATAGTTTCTTATATAACAAATATAATTTATACCACATTTTAAAATGAAGGGTTTTAAAGACTTACAATCCAGTTGCTCAACACAGAAAGTGGACAGATGATCAGTGTTGTTCTTGTTCTCTCTTCAACATCAGATTTCTTGGTACCTTCCACCATAGATGTTCCTAGAAGAACAAATCATTGATAGACTTCACCTTTTCTTTAAGCCCCTTAAATATACATGTCAATACAGTGATGCCAATGATGTGCCTCCATGAAAAAAGAAATCCTGAAGAAGCAAAAACAGTAAACAGACTGTTTTCAGCAACAAGCCTTTATGAAAACAAAATTTTATATACTGTTTATCAGGAAGAACCAGCAGACTGTGACTAGACAGGCACAGAAAGAATCTACAGTATCTACTGATAGGACAGCCAGTAGGCATGGGGATGAACATTTCTATAATGCGGTTTTCTAAATTTTTACTGCACTTAATGATGGTCCTAAAGATCTCTATGCCCTCCCTGCTAGTCACAATCTGTGCAGTCTATTTCCACATTCTACCAAGGGTGGTCTCTGACCAATAAAGATATTGCAGAAATGATTTATGTAGCTTACATGCTAACTGGAAAGGCCAACCACAGATAGAGACACAGAGTAATATCAGGTAATCTTAAATACTAAGAAGCAATGAAGTATGATACGAGCACAGTAATTATGAAATAGAGGAATAAGTCTGTGAGGAAGAAATAGAAGATTATTACTTTCTGAAGTAACAATTAACTAGACACCTAAATAAAGTAGAAGAGTAAGTCAAACAAATATCCAGGAAGGGTCCTTTAATAAATAGGTGCCCAGGGGCTGGAGAGATGGCCCAGTGGTTAAGAACATTGATTATTCTTGCAGAAGATCCAGGTTTGAATCCCAGCACCCAGATGGCAGCTAACAACTGTCCGTAACTCCAGTCCCAGGGGATCTCACAGCCTCTTCTGACCTCCGCAGGCACTGCACAACACGGGTGTACTTACCTACATGAGGCAATACAGGCATACACATAAAATAAAAATAACAAGACAAAACAAACAAACAAACAAAAAACCCAAATAGGTGCCCAACCCATGGAAGTTGTTTTTAGTCACCTAAATTCAATAGAGAGCTTCATTTGGTATGACCTTTCAGTTTGCTAAATTCAGCACCGCACAAATTTCTAAGGAAATATTTAATTGCTGCTTAATATGGATGCCAATCTTAGCAATGGAGGAGACACACTGAACAGAATGTTATTTTCTAATAACTTATTCCTTCAGAAGACAGCTCATTTCCTCAGATTTAGCCATAATACATCAATAGAAATTCAAGAATTCCTTACAATGAAAGCTCTTTAAGTCTCATAAATTAGGAAAAATTCTGTTTACAACAGTGAACAGGACTTAGCTGACTAGTCTCTCTCGGTCTCTCTCTGTCTCTGTCTCTCTCTGTCTCTCTCTGTCTCTCTCTCTCTCTCTCTGTGTGTGTGTAAATGTACATGTGTGAGTACACATGCATCTGTGTGTGAAGGCCAAAAGTCAACCGGGTATTTTTCTCAATCACTTTCTACCTATTTCATGACAGGGTCTCTCATAAACCTGGAGCTTACAAATTCTTCATAGTTCAATCTCTAGGGTCCACATGGTAGAAAGAGAGAAAAAACTACTACAATTTGTCTTCTGCCATTCACATGTATACCATTACACTCATGCTTGCATGTGCACACACGCATGCACACACACACACACGTAATCTTTAAAAATTCTATTAAAAAACCCATTTCTACTTTTGGGGTTGTTCAAGGACAGGTAAATGTAACCTGAAGCCGTGTATATTTCCCTTGTAATACTTTATCTGCCTTTTTTTCTGCCACCTGAAATGTTTATGGCTAGTGAAGTGCTCTACCAGTGAGCCACAGCACCAGATCCTGAAATGTTTACAGCTACTCCTATAGAAGACACAGAGAAAAAAGTGGTACTAACCTCTGTGGAAAAAAAAAAAAGAAAAAAAAATCAATAGTGGGCTTCAACTTTTCTGGAAACTTATCTTCTATTTTAATACTGCATTACCTTCTAAAGTATAATAAAATTTGATTGAAAAATTAGAGACTATCATCTTAAACATCTATGCACTAACAGACAGCACAGTGAAGTTCTGCTGCCAGGTCAAAATGTATCCGGGTCTCCTCAGAGCAAAGCTGCAGCCACTTCTTCTGCCTTTGAGACTGACCCTGGGAAACACTTCTCTAGATGGCAACCCAGGGGAGGAGAACTCCTTCAGCACCATGCTGTGTTTAGGTTCTCATGCAGCAGGTACCTGCAGTTACAAGCTAGAGCCTTCAATGGTAAGGTCTTGCCCTCCAGGTACATTTTCTAGTCCTCCAGTGCAAATCACAAGGTTTGTGTTTAGTGTTGCTAATCTTTTATGAAGCTTCCTCTACACCTTCCTTGTCCTCAGCTTTAAACTCACTCCTTCCCTTGCCAAAATACACATTTTTCCCATCTGTCTGCTCCACTTGCTGTTCTCTGTTAACCTGAATAAAAGCAGTGAGTAACCACAGCACCACCTCGATGCTATCCTGTATTGAAAATGCCCCTGCCTCTGCCAAACAAATTAGTCCCATTATCTTTTAATTCAGCCCCACTCAAATTCTCAAGACATAGATAGACTTTGCCAGAACACAATATGAAAGGCCTCTAGTCCAGTTCCCAACAGAGTTCTCTGAAACCTGATGAGCCAGGCTCCCACTGACCATCTCTCAGTATTCTGATCTTCCAAACTCCCACCAGCATAGCCCATTAATCTGTCTACAGCATTTTTGGTATTCTGTAGCCCGTAGCTCCAAAAATCTTTCACATTTGTCCTGTAAACCAGTTACAAAGCGTACAAAACACAGTCAGTTTTATCACAGCAATAACCATATTCCACGGTCCCAAAATTATATATTAGTTGTTTCTGTGACAAAATACTTGACCAAAGCAACATAAGAAGAAGAAAAGTTCATTATAGCTCACAATTTGAGGGTACAGTCCATCACGGAAGGGAAGTCATGGCAGCAGGAGCATCAGGCATCTGATCACATAGCATCCAGAGTCAAAAAGTAGAGAAAGATGAATGCTGGTACTAAGCTCACTTTCTCCTTATTAAGTGCAAAGCCAGTCTACGGAATGGAACTACCCATAGTCAAAGAGGTTTTTGTTCTTTAGTTAAACCTTTCTAGAAACCGCTTCATAAACATACTCAGGGATGTATGTGTTTCTAGGGTGACTCAATCTAAAGTTGAAAACGAAGGTTAAACCTCATACTACGCTAACTCAAATACTGCATTTTTAAATGGGCCCCAGTCAAGTCTACTGTTTTTATTTTGGGGGGTTTTTTGAGATAGGTTATCCCTGTAGTCCCAGCTAGCCTGAACTCTCTGTGCATACCACAAATCTGCTTATCTCTGCCTCCTGAGTGCTGGGATTAAAAGCATTGTGTCTACCTTCAAGTCTATTTTTATGTCTTCAGATTTGTCTTTCTAGCTATCTAAAATTATGTATTTACTTATTTATTGTATCTCCCACGACTGCACTGTAAGCTCTAGGAAAATAAGAATTTTGTGTATTGTATTTGAAACAGGTAAAAACACAGGAGACCAAGGCAAAGAGATACAATATGTCTTAAATGTCTAACTTTAATTGAAGCACTTCCAATCTCAAATATTCAGACTCACAAGCAACACTGCTTTTCTAGGAACAAATTTATAATCAAGATTACTAATATTCTTGAATGACAAGCAAATCCTAATCATGCCAAAAATTAAGTATGTTAATTTTATCCACATTACGCTTTAAGGCAACCACAGATTACTCTTGTGTCTTCACTAGAACAAACACTTCTACTCGAGAAAAAAAAAAACTCTCTCCATCATATTTTGGCCTTCAGAAGAGGAATCGGATAGAAAAAGGCACAGGCGGAAACTACACAATGATGTAGCCTCTTTTCAGTTTCTAAACTTGTCATGATGAATTAATAATTTTTCCAATTTAAATTTTTTTCATTGAAAAATAGGGGAAAAAAGCTGAAAAGCACACTTACTAACCTTTTTTCAACACTTTCCTTTTTGTTGTATGGGTAGCT